GGGTGCATCGCTGTCACTTGGATTCTCAAACGCCGGATCATCTTCTGCATCGACACCCGCAGAAGCGGCATCATCGTTGTCAAGAGAGCCGGCTGTGTCCGGCATCTTGGCGGCACCAACCAGTTCTGCATCATCATTATCCCCGTTGATGTTCAGCTCCGTATCCGGTTCACCCTCTGCATCTTCGTCTTCGTCGTAATCGGCATCCTGATCCCCGTCGGCGTTCTCCCCAGAGTATGCCCGATGAACTGCATTCTGTAGCTGCTGGTCCATCTCATAGAGGTCGGTTTCCTCTTCCCCTTCTGCATCCTGATCACTGTCCACCATATCCGCCGGCGGTCTAGTATCTGGATCGTCGATGGCCGGCAGCACGGTCGCCGGCATGGTGTAGGTCGCCGTAGTCGCCAGTTTGAGCGATTGTGTTTCACAGATCTACCAAGGTTTCGCGATGTTTGAATGAGAAGTTGAGGCTATAGAAGCTTCCCGCTAGGGCGAACAATCATCTGGCCGCGCATAAACGGGACATGGGGAACAAAACGGCGAGCTGATTTAAAGGCAGTATCCCAACAATTCAAAGGGCCAATCGGTCAAATCGTAGCATACGTCGTAATCAAGCGTCGGAGACGAATGCGCGCGCAAGACAAGCGCGGAGTTGGAGTCGCTGGAAGGAGGCGGCCGAGACAACAAGCAAACAACGCGTATAATGAAGGGACTGGAACCGTGATATTAGAGGCGCTAGTAGATATGCGAGAGTAGAGCAATGACCAACGCGTATATTCGCAGCGGAAACACCGTTTGTGGAGTTATTCAGCTTCCAAAGCCATCTGCCGCCGCTTCACGCCCCTTCTCTTTCAGTGAGGTTCACGGAGTTGCTGACTCATCCAGATTGACCTCGACCGGGCTAAACCGTATTGGGAAGTCCGCCAGACCTCGACGTCGGCGGAATCAAGCGGGCACAACGACACTGGGGATCATTCTGGTCTGCTTTTTCGCAATTGAATCTGTCCGTTGACACCTGGCTCAATCTCTTCGAGGCTTCTTCTGATCTTGCAACGAATTGAGAATTTGTATTTCATAAAATGGGTGTCCCTTTCGAAGCCCTCATCCCCTATGGGATCATCATCGCTGTGTGTATCCGCAACTCCGAGCATGCGAGCACGAGTTACTGATGGATCGTGACAGATGTTCGGCGTGACCGGTGCCGGCCTCACTGCTGCGAAGTACTTTGGAAACGAAGGGAAAAAGGCGCGGTGGAACAAGGATCTGTGGGACAGAGTAAGTGCTTCTTGACCTGTGGCTTGCGACCGAGTGAGAAAGGCTAATATGCATCTAGCAAAGTGCGTGACCTACTGCTTGCAATGCTTGCAATATTCCTCCTTGTTTGCCCAGTCGAGGCTCCGGAAGCTGACGATATATATCTGCCATAGTGATGGAAAGAGACTTGAGAATCACAGGAACTTTACGAGGCCAGTCAGGCAATGCCGTAGCGCCAAAGGGATTCGATGTCAGCAACCCATGGAAGGTATGTCATATCGTCAGCTCGATGCGTTTATTTGTGGTTGAATGCGAGATGCTCACTTCTTTACAGCTTGAGAAACGGATTTTCTAAGTCACGGCAACGTGTCTCCGCGTCATGTCTTTACACCATTTGTTTTAGCTTGTGTTCGCTTGCATTTCCTAAATCAATATCCACGCTACGGTCCTAGAACGACGTCGTTTGTACAATATCACTGGGCAAGCGAAACGCTGCAAAGCTAGGTTTCAATTGTCAAAAGAATTCTATTTGATCTGGGAGCTCAAGCCCTGTATTCCTTCAACGTCATAGTCCTGGAAGTGCATATCGAAATACTTCGCCAGCGCTTGTCTCCGATCATTTTCATTTGCTAGTGTGGCCACAACTTGTGTCTCCTTACCCAGCCTTTTCTTGACTTCTTTTCCAAACATCACATATATACCTCGGGGTTCGAGTCCGTCCTCATTCAGAATCACCTTGGTGCAGACAAACGCCTGGGTAAACCAGCTGGTCGGATTCTGGCTTGTCGCAAAGTTCATCACAGCAAAGTCCTGTGGCAGGAATTCAACTTCCGAGAAGGAGTACATCGGTATCCATTCGCTTTCCGGGTTATACCTGACCTGGTAGATCCAGAGCTTCTGGTTCTTGTCGACGGAGTCGGGGATGCTGTCCTTGATCAGACGCATCTCGCTGGGCGCAATACAGACCGCGACCTCGTTTTCCTTCATTGGCAGCGGACGGGTAGGGCCATTGCTGCCGAACCCAACGTCGACCTTTTGCGAGCTCAGTTAGTAGCTGTTCGCGATAAGATTCTCAGCGGGAAACACCTTACCATGTACTTCTGGCCGCCAATGGTCACGATTAGAACCATATGTCCACTGCGCCCTTCGTCAGCGAATGCGACTCTACAGATCTAGGAGATCAAGGAACATACAGCGCCAGGTATCCGACCGCCGCATTGTTCCCAGCCGCTGCCGCGCGACTAACTCGGCCTCCCGTGGGATAGACCTGGTACCCCAATGACCGTAGGACGACATAAAGCAGGTTGGTGTTTTCCATGCAGTACCCGTCTAGTTTGCGAACGACCAACTTTTCAAATACACTCGTTGGATGGATGGAGATGGCGCGGAGTTGGGAGTAATGCAGACCTGAATTGCCCCATGGGATGGCGCCCAGGTGCCGCCTCTGCAGCTCGGTCAATGCGGCCAGCGGATCTTTCTCGATGCATTGCTGGAGATGTTGGTACCTGGTGATTCCAGATGTGCTGGCGGAGTCGGCGTACCCGATGCGCTGTAGATAGGCATCTATCTGATCGGGAGTATATGTAGACGGTGACGATGCCATGATGGGAGCGATGATATATGAGACCTTGAGGAAGAAACAGGTTATCTTATTGACATTATACTCAGAGCCAAGATGGTCTCGTATTCAGAGTCGGTCATTACAAAGCGATTATTTGTCAGATGAACAGATCCAGATTTGGCGGGTGAAGCCGCCAAGGTCCACCCCTCGGTCGCCGATTAGAGGCGAGCTGATGTGGTCGGGAGAAGATATCTGTTGACAAGAGACGAGTGTTTCAAATAATTGATTAGTATGGTTCAAGCACTATTTATCCTGATTGTTTTAGCAAAAATCGACGCCTGTATGACAATCGCGTTGACGGTGCCTGTATAGTGCTGCTTCCCCGCGTCTTAACTCCGCGGCAGAATGATGAGATGGCTCATGAATATATTCAGAAGGACCATTGAGATTGGTATCAAATGAGCATGACAGATCTGTCCGTGCATAAGTACTCGGTATTCGGATGGAAAACATGTTTCCTAAGGTAGTCTTGGATGATATCATGGATCCTCTGGACAGAAGTACCTTGATTCTAGACGATAAAGATGGGTTATCAGATCCTCGGCTGTCAGTATCATGAATGGGAGACATCTGACGATGAATGCTTGATTTAACTAGTCTTCGATAGACACTACACACGGTTCTTATTCGAAAGGATCAGAGCACATAGTCATATTCTATATACTAATGCATCTCGAATAAGGACGTTCTCAGCAAGAAGACTGTTCCGAGCAACGGACAAACGGACGTTGCATCTAACACCTTGCCTCCCCACCTCGGAGTCTCCATTTTCATCGCAGCGCGATCTCATTCATAGTTTAGAAAACATATAGGGTGGCTTCTTCATGAACTTCGTGTCGTGGAAACACGTTATCTTTGAAATTCTCCCTTCCCATCCTACTCGTCGACCACGGCTGATCGTCAACCCATTCCACGTCCCACCCTCCCAGGTCCAAAGACGCACCATGTCCAGCTCGATCGACCAGAAACTGGCCGAACTGCAGAAATACTCTGCATGCGATGTATGATCCAAACTACGATCATCCCTCTAGATCTCTAGGAAGCTTCGGCTAACCACCCAAAATCCAGGTATCAGATGCTCTCCTCAAACTACAGAAACTCCCGGCAGGAACAGCCGCCCGAGCAGGGCACCTGGCCGACTTCAGTAAGGAGACCTCTCGGTCTAGCATCAATTTCCATCTTACCAGTACTCTCTTGGTAAGCGAAGCTAACAGACAACCCAGCCCCCTTCTCCCCCTCGATAGGCCGCAACGCAACACAACCCAAAATCATCGCCCCAGCATCAACCTTCAAGTTCATCTCCAAGGACGACCGCATCCCACCAAGTGCCGAACCTGGGGACTCCCACGGCTTCCCAGCAGGCACGCACTGGGTCGACTTCGCCAAGCCAGGCACCATCGCCGTGCTCGAGCAGCCCGCAGACCAGCACTGCGCCGTCCTCGGTGGGATTATGGCCGTTCGGATGAAGGTCCTGGGTGTGCGCGGAGTGCTGGTGAACGGGCGTGTGCGGGATCTAGCGGAGATTAATGAGTGCAAGCTGCCGGTTTGTGTCCTTCCCAATTCTGGATCGCGGGTGTTGGGGCTGATTGATGTAGGTTTGGGCGAAGGGGACGTCGACGGTTGGGTCGGGTGCGGAGGCGAAGCCGGGGGCCAGGGATGTGCCGGTTGATGTTGGGGGTGTGACTGTTTCCCCGGTATGATTTTCTGTAGGTAGGAAATCAGTGTGGATGATGATGCTGACGTTGTTTGTTTGCAGGGCGATATTATTTTCTGTGATCCTTTGGAAGGCGTGGTTGCTATTCCTCGAGAACTCCTGGATCAGGTGCTGGAAATCATGCCGAAATTAGTGGCCATGGATGACAAGGTCAAGGACGCCGTGTCTCAGGGAATGAGTGTCTTTGATGCGTTCAAGCAGTTCCGTACGAAGGTTTGAGAAATTCCCAGGGAGGTATCTACAGGCGTTATATATAGGACGAGCGATCATATAAATGGCGAAACATCATATCATTGGTATTCGAACAAGTATTCAATACAATCAAGAAGGTAGTAACATGATATATGTCATCGCTATACAAAGAAATGCAGGAAAGAAAAGCAATGAAACCAGCTCATTCCTTCTTTTTGTTTATTCGGCGACCCAGACAGCGGCCATACCCATACCCGTACCCACACACATGCTGGTGACACCGACCTTCTTGTTGGTGCGCTTCAGCTCTGTCAGAAGGGTGCTGATCTGCCTAGCACCGGTGCAGCCGAGAGGGTGGCCAAAGGCGATAGCACCTCCCTTGGGGTTGATCTTCTCGTGGGGCAGGCCAAGCTCGTTGACACACCACACACACTGGGAAGCAAAGGCCTCGTTGATCTCATAGATGTCAACCTCGTCCTTGGTGATGCCAGCCTTCTCAAGGGCGACGGGGATGGCCTTCCAGGGGCCGATACCCATGAGCAGTGGCTTGACACCGACAACGCTGGCGGCAACATACTTGCCGATGATCTTCTGGCCGAGGCGCTCAGCGGTGGAACGCTTCATCAGCAGCACGGCGGCAGCACCGTCGGAGATCTGAGAGGCGTTACCGGCGTGGATGGAACCATCCTTGGCGAAAGCGGGACGGATCTTGCCGAGAGACTCGGGGGTGATGCCGTCACGGATGCCATCGTCGGCCTTGACGGTAATGGTCTTCTCCTCGCCGGTCTTGGGATCAGTCCACTTGACCTGGAGAGGAACAATCTCCTCGTTGAAGAGACCGGCCTTCTGAGCCTTGACAGCCTTCTGGTATGAAGAGGCAGCGAAAGCATCTTGGACGGCGCGAGAGATGTTACGGTCCTTAGCCATCTGTTCTGACAAGACACCCATGGGGACCTTGCAGTTGGCGGACTCGGGGTGGCTCTCGAGGAGCTCAGAGAACTCGGTAACGGCACCAGGTCTACGGGACGAACGTTTTGTCAGCATTCGGGCCTTTTTGCCGCTTTGCAAAGGAATGGTTCGACCTACCCGTACTGAGAGGACATGCTCTCCACACCTGCACCAATACCAACTTCAATCATGCCGGACTTGATCGCGTTGGCCATGTCCACAATGGCCTGAAGACCACTGGAGCACTGTCTGTTCAAGCTCTTGACAGCAGTCGACTCGGGGAAGCCGGCAACAAGGGCAGCAGCACGGAACTCGGTGGCACCGCCACCAGGGGCAAGGACGGAACCAACAGCAACATCTTCCACCACCTTGGGGTCGATGCCACTGCGGTCGATGACGCCCTTGAAAACACCGGCCAACAGATCAGCGGCAGCGGTATCCTTGAAACCACCCTTTCCACCCTTGGTCAGGGCAGTACGCAGGGCACATGTGACAACGATATCATCGGGATGCTTCTCGGTGATGGCGGCGACACCCTTCTTGCCTCCCGACGTGAAGTGGGAGGAGACTTGAGAAAGACGCTGTTGAGCTGTGAATCCCCAACGTAGTCAGTAATCAGTATATCTTAGTCGACCGAGGTGAAAGAGTACCCGACTTACCAGAAGACATGATGACGTCAATAGAAACCAAGGGTATATGAAAAGAGACCAAAGGACAACAAAGTAGAGCTCTTCAAAAAGTATGGGATACGAAAGAGATGCTAAACTGGGGAGTCCCCTTTATAACCCCAGAAAAACCCGACGTGGAGTAATCACCAAGTCTCTCGGTCTTGTTACCCTTTGCAGTGTTCGTTGTATCCAAAACCTGTGAAAGTACCGAGGTCCAGCCGCATCAATGTTGTTCCGGCTAAGAACTAGAGTCACGGGATTTCCGGCGAGGAGTGTGTCTCTTAATTTTCATGTGAAGAATCACCCATCAGCAGATGAGAGTGCAGATGATCTTCTCTGGTGTCTTGGAGCCTAGGCAATATCTAATTATGCCATTCAAGCTTGTCGTCAATTGATCCGAGTTCCTCAGCTATTTCGATACTGGTTATACATGGTCTTGTGATTGCCATCTCATATCCATTATTATACACTACTTTGACTGGACTTGTTATATAATCTACTCTCTAAGTTAGTTAACTAGTTAACTAGTTAGTTAGTTAGATAACTAGTAGTGCTGACAAAGTTGAGTCTTATTGTGATGGTACCTGAAAAGGTCTAATAATCTTAGAATAATAGGTACTCTGAACCAAATAAATACTCCATCATGTGAGATGATGTTACTGCGGCAGATTAGTCTTCTAGTTGAAGCTTCCTCTACTCAACCTCCTTTCAATGATTTATTAAGGTATCATAAAGGCAATCACAATTGACCACACCATACTATATGTAGATCAAGCATCAACCCGAGCGGAGAGTCGGCAGCGGAATCCCCGACATCTTTTTCTCTCCGCATCCAATACTGATAGTATCAAAAAAGTCCCGACCACCTCCACAAGGTCTCAATAGACAGTGACAGTAGCTCACCAAACCTCGTTCACTTCACCTCCATTGATCCATTACATTTCCCCTAACATAACCACTGCACAATGCGCTCCCAGATCCTGCGCAGCCTGGCAACAGCCACACGCGCATCCCCCTCCCCATCAACCCACATCCAACCCTCCTCATTAAGGCCATCCCGACCAATTTGCAGCGTACGATCTTCTTTATCCCTCCTCTCGTCATTCCACTCTCTAACCACCGTCTAGCAGAACCCGAACCCTCTCTCACAACCAGCTCTATCCCGACCATTCTCCCACTCAGCCCCCGTCTCATCATCCCCATTCCGCCTCACCTCGAAACCCGACACCGACCACACAATCCCCCCGGAACCACCCCTCGACGGCGAACCGGCCCCCTACTACAGCCCCTACAAGCCAAAGCGCCAATGGCCCCCGGATATGTCCAAGCTTTCCCCGAAACACCAGTTCCGGCTCGAGCGCAAGTACCGACGGCGCGCGGCGCTCAAGTTTGCTCGGCCTAAGTGGGTCAAGGCGACAAAGTTGATTCAGTGGGGGGTGATCGGATGTAAGTTTTTCTGTTTTGGTCCGGGGAAGGCTAGAAAGGAAAGGATAGCGCTAATGTGACTTGTCTCTTATAGTTGTTTTGATATATGCTTTGTTGTTTATGGAGTGGGATGAGAGGGGAAGTCCGTTCGATGAGGTAGGCGTTTCCCTCGTACTGATATACTGCTGAGAGGTTGGTTGCTAACCCTCTTGATCTACAAAATCAGATTCGACGGGCGTTCTTCTCCGGTCTTAAGGATACATTCTCGACTCCTCCGCCCCCACACCCTCTCAGGAGAGCTGATGATACTACTCAGGAGTAGACATCACCCATAGGAGACCGGCTGGCAATCTCGCTTGTGCAAAGTTGCTGATCAGTCTAAGACTGCTGTATATAATAATTGTACCATATGCATGAATCAATGTACTATCTGCAAAGACTACCGAAGCATGGCAACTCCCTACCTGACAAGCTTGAAACCTCCGCTATACTGCTCTGACTTGGTCAGTGTCAATCTGAACTACGAGTTGCACGTCCAAAAGAAAACAAAGTCATAAAAGTTGGCTGTCGTCTGACAATATGTTTGAAAAGGAAAAAGGAGAAATCTCATCATGTTGGCCCTGTCGCTTCATTAAAGTCGTGTCGCCATGGCCGTAGTTCAACTGACAGATGCGCCCAAAACGCCAAAGAAATGCCAACGCCGTTCAATATCCAATTACTCCAATAAGACAAAAACCAGCAAGCCCAGATGAATGAGAACGAGTGACTGGAGTGCTCATGAGAGGGGAAAAAAGGCAGCAGAGAGTAACAGCAACAGAAACGTAGGACCTAGAACGCCGGGTCATGATCGCATGATGGAGTTGACTTCACAGAAAGTCGATGACTTATTGAATCAAGACATCAGAACTCATGAAAGCAGATTCGCCAGAAATATGAATTGGCATGCCGCAACACCAAATGAGCTTGTCACAGCCAATTGCCCAGGTTATCCCCCTTCTGAGAAACTTGATTGTTGGAAGGTAGGTCCAGTGCAAGCTCCAACCTGGGAGGTTTTTCGTCAAGGAAACCCTTCTTAGGGCTACCACCTCCGGCCTTGACTGGGGACTTAGCAGGGGATCCAGGTTCTGGCCGAGGCGGACCCTCCCGAACGAATGTGTACGGCCATCCATCCTCAACCGCAGCTGCAGTCCATGTTCGGAGGCAATCGTGGACGGAGGAGTAGAATTTCTCCTTGCATGTTCTCAGACTGCCGCCCATTACCTTCTCAAACCCAGAAGCGCGGAGTTCTGAACGCAACTTGTTTCGTTCTTCGATAGATGGCATACATGCAATGAGGCCGTTCATCAGGTCCAGATGCGCTGCGAGATAGTTGGTGGCATCCCATTCGACCCCACCTACATACGGCGCAGCGGGAACAGGCGGTCTAGGTGCCGGAAAATGACGCTCTCGGAACGTCTGTTGCTCTAGTTCTGATGGCGATTTGTCGGACTTGACGATGGGTATGACATTGAGATGATGAAGAAAAATCCAAAACACCTCTTTGGTTACATTGCTGACTTCCTTACACCACACTCGATAAGGGCGAGACTGGTAGATATTGGCAATGAACGAGAGCGGTTGGTTTTTTTCCGAAGGACTTGGATCCTGCAAGTAAGAAAGGATCCGTGAGGCGCATGCTGTTGCCATCTCGTCGGAGGAGGCGGTAGCAAGCTGAGTGAAAAGGAGATTCATGATGATGCTGCGAGTGGTGTATTCGCTCGGTCCTTTCTTTTCCTCATCAAATAACATCTTCAACAATGCTGGGAAGAGTTCGGCCTCAATTTTGGTCAGGTGCTTCAATGCGACAGAAGTTGTGCAGAGAGCTTTCAGGCACAAGAGGGTTTCATGAAGCAAAGTGTCCTCATGTTCCTCCCTGACAAAGAAATCAGTATTTGGGCATAAAGACATCAGATTGGACCGCATGAACGTACCGCCATTCAACTTTCATTATCCTGTAAAGCAACTGGACAATTTCGTCCATACCGCCATCGGCAATGAAAGTATCAACCCAGTTGACTGTCTCATTGCGCAATAGGATACGAAGCTTGTGTATCTTACCAATCTCGATCATCTCAGGCTTTTGTATCTCGCGTAGATAGTGGACAAAGTCCGATGGATCGGCAGCAGTGTCGCGACTGGCTGTAGCAGAGAGAGACACGGTGGACGTCGCTGGTGTCAGGATTTTTGCGACACTCGCCGGCTGCGACAAATCAACAGACTTTGGACGCCGATAGAAGCTTCCGCTTTCAGGCCGCTGCTTTTTCCCAGGTGAGGAGCCGCCTTTAGAAAAGGTAAAGCCGCGACTCCTGGACCTTGATCGTGACCCTTTTCCGTCATGACTCTGTCGCTCATCCTTTGACTCGCTTTTGCGACCTCGGCGACCAGTGCTATCAGTGGCCGAGGAAGGAGCCGCGCTCTGTGGGGTGTTGTTCTCTGCTCTATCCTTTTGAATAAAGTCAGCCTTGATGCTAGTGTCCAACGCCCTCATTTTATCCCTCATATTGTGGGGAATGTTTCGCGCATCCTATGTCACCAGTCAGCATGTGCGTCCCCGATGGGAGTAGTACTTCTTAGGCTCACTCACAAGGAGCTTCTCGAATTCGCTTTCCAGGTCCTTCGGGTTCAAGCGTCGTTGTACTTCTGCTTCTTTCTCCTTCGCGTTGAAGGCAGAGATTGCCGCCTGCACGCGCGATGGTTTCTTCGGGCTCGCATTTGGCTTCATCTCAGGCTCTGGGTGCGATTCGGACCTTCGCATACGAGGTCTCCCTTGGCCTCGCTGGGACTCAGTCTCAGGCTGATCAACCGCAATTGGCTTGTCAGGCGGCACTGTTTGGATACCACCCAGTGCCTCCCTTAACTTTCGATTTCCTGAAAGATTATCAGATTTCGGACGAGGCTTGGCATCAGAGCGATTAGCGAGAGAGGGCTGATGGTGATCATAAAAATTTCGCTGTTGCGCTGGGCCATAGCCTTTGGGCGTGTACAATGAAACCTCTTCTTGCAATGTTCGGCGCTTATTTGGGGACTGTGGCATTCCACTCTGGTTGTGGAAGGAGTCGGACCCGTACGGGTTCCAGACAGGAGATGGCATGCAGTCCACCAGATCAGAGGGGCTTCGATTTTCTTTGTCCCGTACGTCTTTTGATCCTTCGGCCTTCCGGCCCCGCTGTGATCGTTTCAAGATGGCACTGAGGCTGTTTGCCGACTTTGCCTTCTTAGGCTTCCAACCCAACGACTCGTCCTCCTGCGCACTGCTGGATTTATTTTCCTTGCGTTCCATGTAGTTTCTCAACGATTTCAGCGACACGGTACTCTTCGTCTTCTTGTGTAAACCAGCTTTTCCTGTCTTTTCAGACGGCTTCTGCTGGAATGAAGTGCCATCTGCCGCATCACGGTTGTGGGCTCTTTCGCCCAGCGGATGTTGGTTTAGAGCAGGGTAGGCCTGGTCGGCTGGGGACCAAGACGCGCTTTCCGCCGGTGTGGACCTGGGGAAAATCTTGGGAGGGATAGCATCGTCCGCAGATTGGTTTCGTCTAT